AAAAAAAAGGTCTTCTCAATCAGAGGAAAGTTACAGAACTGTTGTTGTTGTTGTTGTTGTTGTTGTTGCTATTTTTGCTATTATTACTGTTATCATTATTATTGTTCTTATTTATTGACACTCGATGAGATGACAGATTGGTGATGAATGCAAAAATGATACATCTGTACAGATTCACCAACAACATACGTTTACGAAGATAGCGATACATGTACAAATGAAACAACAACAGTTTATATTTGCCCAGAAACTATTTTTATTTTTATTTTTATTTTTTTCACTGGCATCATTATTTTGCTTTATATGTTTTCAAATGATATGAATTGGTAATCTTTGTCCATCGGAAGAAAAAAAAAAAAGCTCAAAAGTGTATCAAGTTTAACCACATTATGTTATATCATAAATTGTTTATTTATCTGCAATTTCTTTTTTTTTTTTGTTTATCAACTTCTTATTTGTTACAATAAACATCTGCTCAACACTTTTGAGGTTTATCATCACTGTTTTTCAACAAAAAATTTTAAGTATAAATGGTTAGCAACAGAAACGCTTTCATACATATTTAAAATGCTATATAACTATATTGCTTGATATGGTTTAAAAGAATTGAAATAAATTAATTTTTGAAAATTTTTGAAGTACCCTGAAATTGGGTTCAACTTGGAAAGCTCTAACGCATCTGGAAACAACATGATTCAAATTCAGCTACCTGTTGTATCTCTATCAAATATATCAGTTACAGTATACGATAATTGTTCAGAGCAATAATAAAACCTCAAACTTTTTATAAATTCTTCTGAATTATTTTTGAAACTTCCACCAAACAAAAAGTAAAGATCAAAGAAACAAGTCTCTTATTAATAATGCTACTTAACTTTGGTATTTCACCGAGAAATTTTAACTTACCACCCCAGTTGATTGTTGGTTTAAAAAAAGCAGTGAGTTTTCCAACTCTCTTACTTGTCTTTACCAGCAAAACCTCTCCTGTGCAAAAAAAAAAGAAGATAGTAATCCTTTAGGACAATAAGACAGTTTTTCTTAGCTTCTTAACAGGTCATTTTTTTAATCAAATAAAGCAGAGTAACTGGTAAAAACACTTTGTTGTACTTTTTACTACCTTGGTAACTATTTCAAATTTTTCATACTAGACTACTTCATCTTTTTAATAAAAAAGAAAAGAAAATAAGGACTAAAGATTAACGGCTTTCGTGCCCACGTTTGATAGCATAGTGACTCAACAGTTGACACGAGGAATACTTCAACTATAGGGGTAAAGTTTGCGTACAATTTTAGGATGGTGAATTTGTTTTTGTTCACAAATCCAAATATTTTTTTTTTGAAGTGCCAGAAAAGGCTGTTCTCTTTACGTTTTTTCTTTTTTCTTTTTCAAGGCAAACCATTAAATCAGTTGATTAAAAGTTGATTGAAAGTTATAAAACATAATTGTTAACTTAAAACATATTTGTAACTTTAACCTTAAGTATTTTAAAGTTTGTTACTGCAGTAATCATCTTCATTAATCAGTTACGTTTACTGTATGATAAACGTTGATTACATCACATTACAAATAATTTTTCTAAAAATAAACTTTATTAAATCGTTTGATTTCATCGATTAAACCTTTACCTTTTCATGTGATTTGTTTTATATTGTTAACAAATTGTAAAAGATTTTAATCGACAGATGAACAGCTGTATTAAAAATAATAACTGATAGTGTTATTGACTTTTGGTTCAAGCCCTTAGTTGAGACAGTCTCGTTCTTCTCCTTTGAATTTTCCTGCCAGTTCAACTGTTCCTGCATCGTAAATCTTCTTTGGTACTTTACCAGAACTCACATAACTGTCCGGAATTTTAATTGTAATTTTTCGTTGACACGGCTGTAAATGGCAAATCTGTTTTGGTTTAATCACATCAATTATTTCTGTATTTAAGTTCTTTTTAAAAGATAAATATAAAAAAGACTAAAAAATAATAAGAAACTAAAATGCCATTCAGAAGCTTTTATTAACAACATTTTTTGCTGTACCATCTGTTTATCAGAGTCATTCCTTTGATAAAACAGCTTTGTTTTATTTAAAAATAACTCTTCTAATATTTATTAAAGTTGGGTTCTCGATTTACAGCAGACAAACTGTTTATAAAATTATTTTGAAATTGCAAATTGATAAGTATTTTAAAAATATGCACTAGTAACTTATTCTAATTTTATTAAAAGAAAGAAATTCCTCTTACTTTCATGCCATCCTCACAGTCATGATAAATGTTCAATTTGGGATCGATTGTTGTTATTTCATCAGTATACCCCTTCAGTTCAAACATACCTTGAGCATCAGTCTTACCAGAAGCCATCAAATCATCTGCATCAATTCCTGCAAAAAAAAAAGAAGAAAAGAAAAATTGTTTTTTGTACCATCAAAAAGTATTACACACTACAGTTCATTTATTCTGATTAATTACTTTAAGCATTTGGCAGCCTGTGAATAAACGGCATTGATTCAAAGAACTAACCCCTGTCGTCATCGTAAAGCTTTACTTTGACTCCTGCCGCCGGTTTTCCGTTACACTTTAAGATGCCCTTGACACCAGAGCTCTGCGTTCGTCCTATCAAAGCAACACTCAGTCCTAAAAGCGAAAGGAAGACCAGAAGTCGAAGCATTTCTGAAGCACTCAGTTAAAGCCCTGTCTAAAAAATATACAAAGTTTTAGAAAACCAATAACAGCGTGCATTAACAACAAGATTTGCAGCATTTCCCACTTGTACGTTTTCAGTAAAAACAGTTGCTCAACGGCCACAAAAAAATTGTGCATAAAGTTAAGCAAGAAACTGACGTCTAGAAAAAAACGTTCAAAAAGCCTTACCAACAACTATTTTAAAAATTGCTTAAAATTTATATTTTTTTGAGAAAATGTTCACAATATGACTCAACAGACGAAAGTTGGAACAATTGGCAATGAGTGAGTGGTACATGTGAAACCGCACTAATACAAGTAAGTCTTTATTTGTTGAAGTTTGAAGAAAAAAAATTCAGACATATTAGACATCAAAATAAAATTCATTCTATCAGAGCAAGAAAAAAGTGTTAAAAAAAAAAAAAAACGTTCAAGCGAAAACAGAATCTGATGACAGCAAGCGAAATTTAAAAGAAGTAAAACGACAGTAAACAGAATAATTTTAGCTACTCATAAGATCATCACGACACCAATGACTGCTTTTCATTGGTGAAGTCAAGTGCATGCTAGAGCACTAATATGACCAAAAATAAACTTACAGACACAGATTTAAAGCCGTAATAAATTGTTGAAGGGATACGGTATAAGCTAAGCATCAGTAAGTGGTACAAATGCAGAGAGATAAATTCATTGTTGGAAAGAAAAAGTGGTTACATAAGGGAAAACATTCTAACGAGTCGAGAAATACTGAAACAAAGAATATGGCGTTTGAAAACTATTTAACGGTATCATTACGTATATAACTGGTTTGTCTGTTAACGTGCTGTTGTGGTGCAGTAAACCTTGCAACAGCCAGTAGTTTGTCATCAAAATGAAATTCTCAAAGACTTTAGTTTCTTGTTAAATAACAATCAAAAAGTGTCGAGTACTGCGAACAATATTTTTCTTTTCTTATCTAGTTGAAAAACGAAGCAAAACAAAAAAAAAG